AAATGTCACTATTTTAGTGACATTTTTTCTAAATGTCACTAAAATTAATGACATTTTGCAGTAAATGTCATAATATATTTGACATTTATATTAAATGTCATTATTTAAGTGATGTTTTTTCTAAATGTCACTAAAACCAATGACATTTTGTAATAAATGTCATATTATATTCGACATTTTGCAGTAAATGTCAGAATATATTCAACATTTATATTAAATATCACTATTTAAGTGATATTTTTTCTAAATGTCACTAAAACCAATGACATTTTGTAATAAATGTCATATTATATTCGACATTTTGCAGTAAATGTCAGAATATATTCAACATTTATATTAAATATCACTATTTAAGTGATATTTTTTCTAAATGTCACTAAAACCAATGACATTTTGTAATAAATGTCATATTATATTCGACATTTTGCAGTAAATGTCAGAATATATTCAACATTTATATTAAATATCACTATCATTTTCCAACATTCATTTCAAATGTCACCAAATTAATGTCGTCGTATGTACATTTTCTTGTAGTGCCCTTTTCTTGGAAGAAACTTGATGCAATTGTAACCCTCTCCTCATTCATTCACCCATAACCCTCATGAAATGTGGTTTTTTGAATAGCCAACTTAGGCCAAAAGCCTAAGTTGGAGGTGTGGTGAAAAGAGAAGGTAAATCAAGAAGTGCAAAAAAGTCTCCCTTGATTCATGGTTTTGAGAAAGCTGAAACCCCTCCATACAAAAAAAAAAGAGAAATTAAAAATGAAAAAACAAAAGTTGAGAAATAAAGTGTGAAAGTTGCAAAAGAAATGGGGTGTCCAATATTCCATGGAAAATGAATAATAGGGTGAATTTTAAGCATTGGTGTGAATGTGGAAGAAAAGCATAGAAAGTGATGTGCATACCACATTTCATGAGGAAAGTAGCCATTGAGCCTAAATGACCATACATTTACCTCAGCCCCGTTACAAGCCTTGAAAAGACCTTTTTGATCGTGAGTGAGCGGAAACAAATGTTGGTTGAAAATAAGGGCAAACCTATGGGTGAAGTCATGCATGTTTTCATCTTTGTGAGTGTGAGAGTTGTATGTGATTCCGAAGCTTTAAATTGTTGAAGAATAGTGTGTGAATATGAAATCATTCTTTGTGTGAGGGAATTTGAGTACCTTTGTTGAGCTTGAACTTGCATTTGAAGCAAGTATTATGAACTTAAGAATATTTGGTAATAGTGAGTCACAACTTGAATCTTTCAGTGCACAATTGATCCTTGCATTAGTAAGTGGAGTCTTGTTATGTGCATTCATGATTGAGTCTTGGATAGCACTATTTGAGACATCCTTTTTGAACTGTTGAACTTGCATTTTACTTGAGGACAAGCAAAAGTTTAAGTGGGCGGTGTTGATGAGTCCAAGATTTGGACTAATTTAGAGCTTTATTTACAATGATTTAGTGTCCTCAAATGCTTATTTTGTGCCAATAACTGATGTAAAACCCTTGATTTTCAGATATATGGATTGAGGAACAAAGCTAGAATAGAAATGGGCAACAAAGACAACACGAGCGAAAAAAGAGAAGGGAAAAACAAGCAGATGATCGCCGATGTCACTCGGTGACTCGCCAAATTGCCCTTCTACCGCCTAATGTTACAGAAAGCTGACGGTGAATTAGGAATAACTTCGGCGAGCAGTTGTTCCACTCGGCGTGATGTCGATCGCATCGGCGATGGAATACCAGGTTGCTGAAAGTACTGATGCAGACCCAGATAATGACAGATGGGCGAGTCAAAGGACAGAAGGGCGCATCGCGGAATGAAACGGCGATCCTGAGTTGGCTCGCCTAAAATTACAGTGGTCGAATGAAGAAGATGTGAAGCAGGAAGGCTAGACGAAAGGACACTCGATGAGTCGCCAAACAGTCGGCGAAGCCCAACTTTCCTCTCCGAGTGGCCTCAACAAGCCACACCAGATTTTGTATAAATTGATTTATGCATGAGAGAGAAAGCATTGAGAACTCAGAACGAACAAAAGATAGAGAGCAAAAACACTGTTATTGTCATGGGAATTGATTTTTAACAAGATTCTTCATTTGGGTTTTGTAATACACAATAATTTATTGAACTTTGACTTCCGAATTTCATCTACCCAGCTATGGAAAACATTGCAGGTATTCAATTTCATCTTTTTATTATGATTAGCTAAAACCCTAACCTTGGGGAGTGACAATGTGACCAATTGTTGCATTTGATTAAGTGGCTGTCATTAATTAGCAAATTTTGATGTTAAATTGAAATAGGTCTGAGTTATTATCGTGTTTTAACTTCATTATTGCATATTTAGTGCAATATAGTTCAGAGTTTTGTGCTTGCTCGAGAGATAAGCACAGAACCAATGTGGTAATTTGACATCCTTAGTAGTGGGTCATTACGATTTTAGCTTGAGAAAGTGAAATTTGGGATTCAGCCGTTGTGTCTAACTCGAAAGAGTAGACTTGATGAGGAAGTGGGCTGGGCTTCTTATGGCTAGTGTTGAAGTTTGAGAGAATTCAACTAAAATAAGACAATTGTTCGAGAGAAAATTGCTTTACATATAGTCCATTCTACCCACAACAAATTAACATTGTCGGTAATGATGTTCACCAATTAAGTTGAATTCAATAGTTGGTTTGTCAATCCCTCTAAGTGTTCTCTCATTATTTGATCGTTCCGTGTTGATTGTTGAAGTGGGTTAGTAAATACAACCTGGAATTTGAATCCTAAACTTTTAAGTGTGGTATTTGTTCAGCTGAAAGGGTCATTGTCATACTTTCATAATCGAAATCAAAAGAAGGCTACTCTTTGTGGGATCGACCCCAACTCATATAGTTGGGTTTATACTGATTTACGACCGTTGACACTTAGAATTGGATGAAGTGTCTTTGAAATGTTAATCAAGCAACCTCAACAATTAATTAAAAGTAATCAAATAGTACAACGATATTTGGGGAATTGACCGACCAATTGCTAAACTAAACTCAATGGGTGTTAACTGATAACCAATAGCCAAGAGTACTAACTCTTCGTGAGTAAGATGAACTTTAGATGAGGTACTTTTCTCTCGAACAACTACCTCATGTCAATTGAGTTCTCTTGAACCTCAATGTGCTAAATAAGAGACCAGCCCACAACCTCACTACATCTACTCTTTCGAGCTGAATACATAGAATGAATCTTGGGATTCACTCTCTCGAGTTGAACCCACCATGACCCAATGACTACGAGTACCAACTTATCACCTTGGTTTTACACTTATTTCTCAAGAAAGCATAATACACTAAATCATACTGAAATAGCATACAACAGATCAGTTAAACCACAACAATAAGTCAGACCCACTTCGAATTAGCACTAAAATTGATAATAACTAACACCTATTAAGCCAAATTCAGCAATTAATCACATTGTCAAACCCTCAAGATTGGGGTTTTAGCTAATCACCATAAAAGAAGAAATTTAGTACCTAATAAATGTTTTATAGCTGGGTATTTATTTTTGAAGTTCTAAGATGAATAAATCTTTATCTATTACAACACCCAATTGAAATCTCTAACCAAAATTGCTAAAAATCAACAATAATAGTGTTTTTGTTCTCTCTATTTCATTCCACAATGACTGGCTTATTTCTCTCTCTTCCAAAAATCAATTTATACTAATATGAGAATTGGCTTTTTGGGGCTGATCGGCGAGGAAAGTCGGGCTTCGCCGACCAGTTGGCGACTCGTCGATCGTTCTTGTCCATCACCTTCTTTCTTCACGTTTTCATCCATCATGCACTGTAACTTTAGGCGGTCTGGATCGGGATCTCCGATCGCTTCCGCGATCTGACCATTAGTTATTTGGGTAGCCAATTTAATTTCATCTTGGTCTCTTTCAGTGCGTTTGGCGGTACAATCTTGTTTCGCCGATGTAGAACACAATTCTCCCAAATTTCTCTCGTTTCAGG